ATATATATATATATATATATATATTGTCATGGCCTGTAACATCTTGTGATCCATGACAATGAGTAACAAATGAATCATATAAATATTTTTTATTATTTATATGATTAATTTGTTACTCATTGTCATGGATAAAAAAAATATGATAATGACTTTTGACACCAAAAGTACCTACAATTACAGAATCACCCAACAATGTGTCGCGACACTCTGATTCAGCTGATGGCACAGAAGATGATGAACAACATTTCAGGTAGTTTGGAGAATCTTGCAATCTTTCAAATCGACGTCCAATTTCCCCTCCACCTCCACTCTGCATGTGCCTTCCTTCCTTTGCTCTCTCTCTCTGATCAGATGATAAATGACACAGGCGGAGGGGAAATGTGATGGATGACGGATGGATGTTTGCAGACAGAGAGTTGAGACCCATCACTCACACAGACCTCACAATCCTGACTGTACGCCACTGATAAAACCAGCGTGTGTGAATATGAACGAAATGAAGTGAGCAGTTTATTCTGTCACACAGACCTGAAGTAAAACAGTATAGAAATACTGGAAGAAGAACTTTGCATCCCATGAAGGACTGTCAATGATGTAACTGAATCAAGTTTGGGGTGGGTAAGATTTTTTTAATGCATTTGAAAGAAGCCTCTTCTGCGGAACAAGGCTGCATTTATTTGATTGTAAATATTGTAAAAAAAATTGTGAAATATCACAATTTTAAATATTTGAATATATTGTCAAATATAATTTATTCCTGTGATCAAAGCTGAATTTGCAGCATCATTACTGCAATCTTTAGTGTCACATGATCCTTCAGAAATCATTCTAATATGCTGATTTGCTGCTCAAGATACATTTATTATTATTATTATTATTATCAATGTTGAAAACAGTTGCACTGCTTCATATTTTTGTGAAAATCATGATACATTTTATTTTTCTGGATTTTTTTATGAATAGAAAGTTCAAAAGAAGAGCATTCATAAAAAATAAAAATATTTTATAACATTATAAATGTTTTTATTGTTACTTATGAGCAATTTAATGCATCCTTGCTGAATAAAAGTATTAATTTCTTAAAAAAATAAAATAAAATTGTACCGAGCCCAAACATTTGATTGAACGGTACAACAGTAATTGAAGTTTATTGCAAAATATTCTGATATACACCAGTAGTTTGAAAGTGTATTCGACTCTTATGTCGTCTGCAATGCATCATGGGAGGATTATACTCTACAGAAAGTCAAACAACCTACAATGACTCCATAAATTACACTGGAATACAAAATAAAACACATTAACGCTGAAAAAAAATGACACGAAAAGACAGAAAAACTTGTGAAAACTTATGTGGTAAATCCAGCAGACAGACACAGGACTCATCTAAAGGGAAGCATTTCAAACGATTGTGCTGAGACAGACGCCAGTGATGTTCCCATCAGCTGTTTAAAGAGCTCTGAGATCCGTCCTGCTGCTGGAAATATGCTGATCACACACACCTCTATTCCTTTAAACCGTCTGTGTGTGTGTGTGCGTGTGTGTGTGTGTGTGTTTCTGTGTGTCTGTGTGTGTGTGAGAGAGAAAGAGAGAGAGAGAGAGAGAGGTGAAATTTGAGATTTCTCTGTAGTGAGCGCTATATATCTCACTGCTGTCTGTCTGACAAACAAAGACAGAATGACAGTAAAACAGACACACATAAGCTCTGCAAACCGATACACAAAATACACGTTCACTGAAACCCAGTGAGCTGTTTAACCAGACAGGGACCCGTTCCAAAAAAGGACAAACTTACAAAGACTTCTGACTTAAAGTCTGGTCATTTTGCAGCTCCTGCTCTCATCAGGTTCATGAGCGCTTAGCGGCCGCTGATGCCCTGGAGCTCACATCTCCCAAAACGTTGAAGCAAATTTTCAAATAGGCGTTATCTTTATAAACAAACCGCATATTTGAAGTCTAAACAACTACATTCACCTAATGCTTAAAACTACATTCCATGACACAACAACAGTAGTATTTGTAAAATTATAGTGGGTTTGGTCGTCTGCCATGACACTCGCTGCGATACTGGTAGAATAACACATGGCTGGAAAGATCTCTCAGCCAATCAGATTCGAGGACCAGAAAGAAATATTGTATAAAATTAAATAATATAATATAAGCATACAATATCTTACAAAATATACAGTAATCATCATGCAATATTTTATATAATATCAAAACAGACATAATTTGTGAAAGGTTTTCCCTTTGAGAAGGTCCCTGCATGTCCTTTTGTTAGATTTATCTGACTTCTGAGGACAAATTTGTCCCTAAAGTACAGCTAAGTAAATACACACTGACAGAAAGTCACACAATCACCCAAAGGCAGAGAAAAGAACACAATGTTTGATGAAAATCTACAGGCAACAAAGGAGTCTCACACCCACATTCACACACAGACAGACAAGGGCAGCAGTAGAGGTGTAATCTGTGTTATGTAATAAATCTAATTAAATAGAGCGGTGTCATCTATAAGGACAGATGGCTCACTCTGTCAAATGAAAATAAAGCCACGCACACATGAGTCATGAATATCCCTTCATTCTGATTCCAGCATCACACCTGTTTAAACATATCTTATCTCTTCCGATCTGTTTCCTGTTTCCTTTGTTATTCATTGAGAACATAATTCATACAGACTCACAACATTCCATATCTCTCCTGAAATATTCATTTGATTTTCAGTGGAAACAGGCCAAAGTTTGAGGGATCAAACTAGTAATTCTATTAATAATTATAAATAAAAATAAGTAGGTTCACAAAATAGTTCAACAGCAAGTTTATGTAGATTAGTATTAATATGAATACTGTAATATAAAGAATGACCAAACATACAAAAATACAGTGATTTTTCATTTCTAATTTACTTTATATATTACCTATTCCTATCTCATTTGACCTATACTTGCTACACTTGATATTTTATTTTTATTTGTTATTGGTTTTATTTGTTATTTATTATTTTATTTGTTTTGGGATACCTGGTAACACAAATATATAGTTTTAGTCATGCCAATATATATACATATATATATATAAATAAAAGAATAACCCACTCCAAAATAAGAACTAAGACTGAGAGACACAGACAACAAGACAGACAGAAAGACAGAGGTTTGACATTCTGCTCAGACTGTGACAGAATAACTGATGACAATAAAAATATAGAAACAGACGAGACGAGAAGAGACATAGACGAGAGCAAAAGACACAAACCTGAACACACACGTGATGTCCATGAGCATTTGGGAGCATATAAAATGTGTGTGTGTGTGTGTTCCACGGTCAGTTCTTGTCCTGGTTTCAGTTCTTCCTCCCCTGCGGCTGTAACCTCATCTACATCTTTCTCATTCTTTCATTTTCCTCATGTTATCCTTCTTTTCACAGCTGCCCCCCTCTAGTCCTCTCTTCCTCGTTTTCATCACCCCCACCCCTCTATCTCTATAAACTGATGTTATGAGATTCCAGCTCCACTTCAGATCAAATTAAAATGAGCTTTAGTGAGAGCAAACCACACGGCCTGCCTCTATCCTGTGTTTTAAATATCACACATACACATCTAAATGAGGACATATTGTGCACCTCTATTGTTTTTATGTAAGGCTAATAGCAATGACTGCAGACCAACTATATTGCTAAAACTAAATGTTTTGCATTTTATAGATGCAAATAAACTTTAAGAAATCATATTTCCTATTGAGGACATACTCAGATTTTGTCAGATTTAGATAATATTATAATTTATATTTTGAATTAGTTTTTTTCTTATATTTTCCATTTTAATTTTAGGTATTAATAATTTTGTCTATTTTAAACTTTTTAAAAATGTCTATATAGTTACATTTTTTTACATTTTTATTTTCAGTTTTAGTTTCAGTTATTTTAGAACATCAAGTTAAACTAAACAAAAATGAGAAAAAAAAATTACAATTAAATTATTTTAATGTTTAATGTATCTTAATGTTATTTTCTATCTCCTAACCCGATCCCTAAACCAGCCCACACAGAAACCTGTGCACATTATTAGATTTAAACATAAATATCATTTGGATCATGTATGAGTCTTTTCGACTTGTGGCGACACATGAAAATGTACTTAAGACAAATACACCTTACAAACAAAACATTTGACTAAAAGAAGTTTGAAATGATAAAGCAGTAGATATCAATCACTGCTCTTCTAGCTATCAGGGAACGTTCTCAGAATGTTCTGGCGAGGTTCTTTCAAAGTTATGAACAATATTCTTCCAGTAACATTAACAGAATGTTGTTTAAAGTTATCTGGTCTTTTATAATGTTCTCAAAACGTTATTTATACATCTTTCATGGAATGTTTTTTCTTAAACATTTTAGTTGGATGTTCATCTAATGCATTTTAAACGTTTCTATTTCTGGTTTCAGAGAATGTTCAGAGAACATTCAAAAGTAACATTTCCGTTCGAAAACAATAAAATAAAACACTCTCTTCATGTTTTCTCTGACAGTTTCACACACCAAGAAAAAAAAAAGTTTTTAAACCATTTTAAAACTGGACATGTTAATGTTTAGAGAACATTTACAAATAATGTTTTTAAAACTTAATGGAAATAAAAAAAATATTATTAGAACACATTTTTAAGCTGGGCTGATTGTTTGAGCCTAATACAGAAACACTGACTCAACCAATGGTGTGAGTTTGAGGGCGGGACTATCTGTTTATCCGACCAATGACAGGTGAGATGAGTGTCTCAGAAACATGTTTGAATGTCTTGAAGTGTTTTTGGTACACCAGTGGCACAGATATTATGCACAACACTTTTAGTCTTCATTTTCATGACTAGGTCTATTTTTTTAAACTGAACCTAAACTGAAACTTCTTTTGGTCAAATGTTTTGATTGTAAAGTGTGTTTGTGCATCTTTCATTACAGTAAATAACACATAACACTGGCTATCTAATGCAGTGACATTCAGACATATTATTAATAGGAGGCACTTTTTTAACACCATGCAAGATGTTTTCTAGCATTAGGGCACTGACACACAAAAGACAAACACACACACACATTCGACACTGAAACACTTCGTTGACCCTAAACCTTGAACGCATTTATACAGTGTGTGTGTGTGTGTGTGTGTGTGTGTGTGTGTGTTAGTGTGTGTCCAGACCTCCTATCAGCAACTAATGTGACCGAACAGGAGAGGGAAACCAGGACACACAGCGGGATTAAAACACACACACACAGAGAGAGAGAGAGAGAGAGAGAGAGAGAGAGAGAGGGAGGAGATACGAGACGCTCAGTTCACCAGTAGATGGAAGGAGAGACAGATGTGCTTGTGAGAGAGAGACAGATCATAAACACAGACAAGAGAAAATCACACAGAAGGACGTAAGAAAGAAGAACAGAGACACACGGAAGAGTCTGATCTCACACGGGAATATAGGAGAAACAGAACGAGTGAACGAGAGAGAGATGAAGAGATGAAGAACAGTCCGTTCACCTACAAAACACTCTGTGATGAAGGTCAGTAATGGAGTTAATCATCTAATGAAATATTACAACACTGCTCAAGTCATCAGCGTACATCTAAAACATTAATTCTATTTAATTTAATTTAAATATTTTACATTTATTTTACATTTTTAATTAAATTTTTACAAATGTTATTACATTTTTTTATATTCAATTTAATTTGTAATATTTAATTTTTAATTTAATCTACGTGTGTGAAGTGCTTTTGAGTTCAATCAAAACGTACTAAAAAGCACCTTGGTACTAACATGGTACTTTCAACCTGTACCATGGTCATATCAATAAAGTATCAAAGTATCATAGTGATACCATGTATTTTGGACTTGTATCATGGTAATGTTGTGATATTCTCTGTAGCACTGTGGAGAATCACACATATGCCATAGTAAATGAATATGGCAATCATTCAGCATCATAGTGTATATCAAAATACCATAGAGTTGCCATCTGACACCATCATTTTACCATGGTACAGCTGCAGTACTTCTGTAACTGTCTCTGGTTGCTAAATAATGTCTGTGTGTAATTGATCATCATTAATAACACAGAGCAAGTTTACTGAATGTATTGTAAACACAACACTGGGATCTCTCTGTCTGTCTGTCTCTCTCTCTGTCTGTGTGTGTGTGTGTGTGTGTTATGTAACAACAGGTATCTAATACCCATCCGTTACGGAGACCTCTGATAGAGTAATGTGTGTGTATTTAAATGTGTGCGTGCAAGTGTGTGTGTTTTAGCATGTGTGTATGTAATGCTTTAAAATGTGTGCATGTGCTTGTGTGTATTTGAGTGTGATTTAGGATTTACTTTGCAACAATTTTAAGTCAAAAAATGTTACAAATAATTACAAAAAAAAAAACATACCCCAATAATAATTTTATTTACACCTTCAAAAAAAAATAATTTTTACATCTAAATGTTATGTCTAAGTGTAAATGTATTGACTCACACATGTCGTTCCAAACCCGTGTGACTTTCTTTCTTCTGTGGAGCATAAAAGAAGGTATTTTGGGGAATCTTGGGAGTCAAACAACAATGGACCCCAGTGACTTTCACTGCACTGCAAAAAGTGGTAACTTAACAATGATAACATCTAAATTAAGCGTTTTTACTCAAGTCAAATATATTAACACCACTGAGCCAACCTTTATAAATTAATTTATACCAACAAAACTATTATACCAATTTATACCAATAAAACTATCTTTATATGTTTAAAAAAAACAGTTAGACACACACTTGAACACAAGTAAGAGAATAAGGGATGGAAGACAAAAGTAAAACAGACAGACAGTCAGCAAGAGATAAACACCAGAGAGAGGGATGCACGAAAGGCAAGAAAACAAATAGACAGTGACAGCAAAAGAAAGAGGAGAAGAGACAAATGAACAGAAAGACAGGAGACAGACGGGTATTTAAGAGAGACGGGCCTGAACCTCTGAATGAGGTGAATCTCCAGACACCTGTCAAGATCATGTCCAGCTCATATTTCACCTCAGAGTGAAAAGGAAGGAGTAAGAAATGTCTGACGTGATGAAATTAAGTCTAGTTTTAAAGTTTTTTTTTTTGTATTGTTACTTTATGACTTTTTTATAATTAATTAAACAGTAAATTACATTTACATCAAATTCTCATTACTGTAATGCACAACAATATCATTCTTAATAACATCAATTATTATTCAGATTGTAAAATCTTTATGTTTTGATAGAATTTGTTGTAGTGATATAAATGAATGAACAAACAAACAAACAAATAAAAAAAACAGGACAAGAAGTTTGAAAAATATATATTTATCAAAAGTTTGGGGCCTGAAGACTTTTTTTTTTTAAAGAAATTAATACTTTTATTCAACAGAGATGCATTAAATTGATCAAAAGTGACAGTAAAGACATTTTATAATGCTCTGAAAGATTTATATTTTGAATAAATGCTTAAAAAAATACAAATGATTTCTAAAGGATCATGCTCACATGACAATAAATGATGGATGATGCTGAAATGCTTTAATGATGCTGAAAATTCAGCTTTGCATCAGAGGAATAAATTACATTTTAAAATATATTCACATAGAAAACAGTTCTTTTGAATTGTAATACTATTTAACAATATTGCTGTTTTTACTGTATTTTTGATTAAAAACAAAACAAAAACAATGCAGCCTTGGTGAGAATAAGAGACTTTCTTCAATATTATTTAAAAAAAAAAAATTCTTACTGACCCCAAACTTCTGTACAGTAAAGTTAATATTTTATTATGGAAATAAAATCTAATGAGAATCATCATTGACAATAATGAAAATCACAAAAACTCACAAGTGAAATGTCTGAATGCATTACAGTAATGAGAATTTGGGGGATTAATGGTCCTAAAAAATAATAATACATATTATTTTCCTTTGATTTTGGGATGAAATGTGACCTGGACATCATGACTTTGTGATTTACTCAGAGAAGACTGTATAAAATGAAATGAGTTTGAGAAAACATGCGTCATCCTCCAAAAGAGGTGAAGACACAAACATCAGTACGTTTGTGTTCTTCTGCAGACAAATGCACACTCCCTCTCTCTCACACACAGTTTTTTTAAAAAGCTGTTTTCTTTTTAAGCTGATAAATTTTTTAAGCTACCCTGATACTCTCACAGGCGCAAACATACACACACACACACACACACACACACACACACACACACACACACGTCTAATTGCTAAACACACTAATCACATGAACAGTTCTAAACACACACAAGTTCAGCAGAGTGCATTGAGGCTCAATGAAACCATCTTCAAGTCAAGTATCACTATTAGGCATACTATTTCAACAGACCTCTAGAACTCAGTGTTAAAGTTGAGTGTCTTTGTCGTCCTGCAGATTTTGTGCTCTAACCTTCCTGAACACTGTGACAACCACCCAAAACAACCTAGCAATCTTCTAACAATGCAATAGAAACAACCTGGAAACCATAGAGAACAACCTAGCAATCTTCTAACAATGCCCTAGCAATTCCCTGGCAACCACCAAAAATACCCTAGCAACCACCCAGAACAGACTAACAACACCCTGGTAACCACCCAATACACCCAAGCAACCCTTCAATGGCCAAGCAACTTACTGGCAACCACCCAAAACACCCCAGCAACCAGCCCAAACAGCCTAGCAACCTCCTAGCAATGCCACAGCAACTCCCTGGCAACTACCCAGAACACACTTGCAACCTCCTAACAATGTCCTAGAAACTCTCTAGGAACCACCCTGAACAATCCTTCTAACAGTGCACTAGCAAATCCCTGACAGCACCCAGAACACCCCAGCAACTCCTTGGCAACCACCCAGAATGCCATAGCAACCTCCTACTAATGCCATAGCAACTCTCTGGCAACCACCCAAAAAACAAATGAACAACCCTCTAACAATGCACTTGCAACTCCCTGGCAACCATGAAGAACAACCTAGCAACTCTCTAATAGTGCCTCAGCAACCACCTAGAACAACCTGGCAACACTTATAACAGTACCATAGCAACTGCCTGGCAACCACCCAGACACACTTGCAACCTCCCCCTAGCAATGCCCTAGAAACTCTCTAGCAACCACTCTGAACAAACCTTCTAACAGTGCACTAGCAACTCCCTAACAACACCCAGAACAGCCTAGCAACCCTTATAACAATACACTAGCAACTCACTGACACCCACCAGGACACCACAGCAACTCCTTGGCAACCACTAGAATGCCCTAGCAACCTCCTACTAATGCCATAGCACCTTCCTGGCAAACACCCAAAACAAATTAACAACCCTCTAACAATGCACTTGCAACTCCCTGGCAACCATGAAGAACAACCTAGCAACTCTCTAACAGTGCCTCAGCAACCACCCAGAACAACCTAGCAACCCTCAACAATGCCCTAGAAACTCCCTGGCAACCACGAAGAACAACCTAACAACCCCTCTAACAGTGCCCTAGCAACTCCCTGAGAACCACCCAGAACACACTAGCAATCATCCCCGAACAACCTAGAAACCACCAAACAAATCCCTTAGCAACTCTCTGGCAACCACCCAGAATACCCCAGACACCCTAGAAACCACATTGCAACATGCTGAAACCACTAAGAACACCTTAGAAACCACAGAGAAATGTCCTGGCAACCGCCACAGCATTCTGTTAAATGTACACCAATGAGCTACAACAATACACAGAATACTGTGGTATTACCATGATATCATGTTTAAAAAACGCTGCAATATTATGGTACTATGGGGTATTTTTAGTTAGTGTTTAGTGAGTGCTTAGTAGAGTATATGTTAGTGTGCACAGAGAAACACCACTGTCAAAGCCATTACACACACACACACACACACGCGCACACACACACACACACACACTATATGCACCTGTGTGTGCAGTAACACGTCCGAGGACTTCCATTAGGTTTCCGTGTGTGTGTGTGTGTGTGTGTGAGTTACAGTACATGTGTCTGTATGAGTTATGTGTGTAATATAACTCGCAGCGTTTTCCTCTCTCAGTGCATCTCAGAGGTGCTGTACGCTTCGACTGGTTAATATTGTATATCAGAGGCTTAAACACACTAGTGTGTATCTCGCTTTGTAACATCTCCCAGAGCTTTGTTCAGTTTGATGCTCTGAATGACATCATATCACTGCAAAGCATGAACCGCCAGCCAAACCAATCAAATCATCACAAAAAGAAGTTAAACATTTGATGTAATTGTTGTTATAGGAATATTGGAAAAAAGAGGCCGATTTCTTCAAATTTCATTAGATCCCACTGAAAGCAGTTAAAGGCTCTGGATAATGAACAGACGACTGTCTGCTGGGAGTCACTGCACAGAATGAAGATAAACTTTACAAACTACATCTTTCATTCAAACAGACACACCGGATCCATCTCGACTCACTCTTTATGCTCATCCTGCCTGCTGTTTGTTGTTTTGATTCATTTCTGTGCACACGGGGTTCAAAATGAC